CACAATGGCATGCACAAGGACTCAAACATGGAGCGTAAGACCACATCTCTTCAAGGCATTGGAAGGATAACAAATGCAAGCATGTAAGCACAAAACATGGTCTGAAATGTCATAATAAGTGAGTCCAAATCACTGAAATAGCCAAGGTAATGCATGTCATTGACTCACACACCCGATGCCAACATGCTAGAATGCAAAGAGATTGTACAAAGCATGAAAGGCATGACCAAACCAACACCCAACAGACCTCAAGCATGGAAAAATAGGACCAAAAACTTCACCAAGCTAGGCAAAAAAATGCAAGCATGATGGTCTAATGGCAAGATGCATTTCTAGGGAAAATGGGGAAATACAAAGCAAGTGTATTATGCATGCAAAGGGTCAACAAACCAACATGGGACAGAGGTGTAATATGACCAAAAAACACCCGAAAACCTCTGAAATGGAGCCAAAGACAACTAGGCATGCATGCTACTTTTATAAGCCTTAAACACAAGCAAAAGAGACACAAGGGGAGAGGGATGTCCCTCCCCTATGCAAGACCTCAAAACCTCTTCTTCACCACTGAAAATCCACTAGATTTCAGTAGTGAGAAGGTCAACACACAATAATAACCAAAGCTTAGCAAAGAGAGCACCAAAAGGGCCAAACAAGGCCTTAGAGGGGGAGATCGACCCCCAACACCAAAACAACCTTGATGAAGTATCTTAAGGATGAAAATATAAGACTTTTTTCAGTTATACACAAAGTCTAAAACAGTAAGCAAGATTGGTAAAAGACTAGTGCAAGATTGGGGAATATAAAGTAAAAGTGTTACCCTTGGAGAATCCTTGAAGAACAGCGAATACAGCCCTCTTCTTCTAATCAAAACCAGTCCAAAACCTCAAGAACAAACCCTTAATGTCTCCCAAAGTCAAAGTATGGTGTAATAGTGTGTGTTTTAGTGCAAAACTATGAACTAAACACACTTTTAGGCTATAAAACACACACAAAATGAAGAGAGAGAGGGAGATATAGAGAGAGAAAGAGGATGATATATTAGATATATGTATGTATTAGGTCTGGATTTTCTGAACCAAAACAAAGGAGAGAGGAGGGGCTCTTATATAGACCAAGGGAAAGGCTAAACTTCCAAGAGAAGCTATCCTAAAGGGTCAAGGCTTCTAAGGGAAGCTAAGCAAAGGGTGCAAGGCTTCCTTAGGAAGTTGGGACAGCTGTCCAAGCTTCTTGAGGAAGCTAAGACAAAGGTCCAAGCTTCCTCAAGAAGCTAGACCAAAAAGGTACAAAAGGGGCAAAACAACCACACTCGTGCATGGACGGCCAGGTTTGTGCACTCCAGCAGGCACAGCTGGCATGTGTTATTCTTGAAAAAGGAGAAAAAGTGATACCGGCCAGAAAATGAGGCCACCGGCCAAAACAGCCCTCTTCTTCTAATCAAAACCAGTCCAAAACCTCAAGAACAAACCCTTAATGTCTCCCAAAGTCAAAGTATGGTGTAATAGTGTGTGTTTTAGTGCAAAACTATGAACTAAACACACTTTTAGGCTATAAAACACACACAAAATGAAGAGAGAGAGGGAGATATAGAGAGAGAGGATGATATATCAGATATATGTATGTATTAGGTCTGGATTTTCTGAACCAAAACAAAGGAGAGAGGAGGGGCTCTTATATAGACCAAGGGAAAGGCTAAGCTTCCAAGAGAAGCTATCCTAAAGGGTCAAGGCTTCTAAGGGAAGCTAAGCAAAGGGTGCAAGGCTTCCTTAGGAAGCTGGGACAGATGTCCAAGCTTCTTGAGGAAGCTAAGACAAAGGTCTAAGCTTCCTCAAGAAGCTAGACCAAAAAGGTGCAAAAGGGACAAAACAGCCACACTCGTGCATGGACGGCCAGGTTTGTGCAGTCCAGCTGGCATGTGTTATTCCTGAAAAAGGGAAAAAAGTGATACCGGCCAGAATACTAAAACAGTATTAGATAGTACATACTATGTTTATTGTTCTAGTAAATTTTACTGTGGTTTGGAGATTAATACATTATTATAGCAGGATATTGTTTTGACTAGGAATTAACATTGTTATGGATAGAATACAATGATATAGGTTATACTTGTGTATCTTTGATGATATATGTAGTTGTGTTGTTAGATTATTTTTGCACAAAGAGTACATGATGAGCATCAGGGGAGTTTGTTTATTGTGATAAATTTTGGTGTAGGTTGGAAATGCTTTTCTAAGGGACTAACATACTGTCTGAAATAAAGTAAAATTTTACGTTGCATAAAAGTAAAATTTTACTTTACCCTAAAATAAAGTAAATTGTTACACTCTAAATTTAAAAGTAAAATTTTACTCTGCATAAAATTAAAATTTTACTCTGAATAAGAGTAAAATGTTACACTCAGAATATAAAAGTAAAATTTTACTCTGCATAAAAGTAAAATTTTACTCAACATAAAAGTAAAATTTTACTCTGAAATAAGAATAAAATGTTACACTCTGAATCTAAGAGTAAAATGTTACACCCTGAATCTAAAAGTAAAATTTTACTCCGTATAAAAGTAAAAGTAAAATTTTACTCTGAAATACGAGTAAAATGTTACACTCTGAATCTAAAAGTAAAATTTTACTCTGTATAAAAATAAAATTTTACTCTAAAAAATGAGTAAAATGTTAGACTCTGGATCTAAAAAAAAAATGTTACTTTGCATAAATGTAAAATTTTACTCTTTATAAAAGTAAAATTTTACTCTGAAATAAGGTAAAACTTTAATCTAAAAGTAACATTTTACTCTGAAATATAGTAAAATTTTACTATGAAACCACAAGCTTATCACACCCATAGACAACCACTCAACAACATAGTAAATTTTTACTTTAAAAGGCAATAAAGTTTTACTTTCATGTGAATGAAGGCAATGTTTTACTCTGGAAAAAATAAAATTTTACTCTGCAATAAAGTAAAAGTTTACTTTGAAATACCGAAAAATTTTACTTTGAAAGCACAGGCTGAGCACAACCATTTCAAACCTTCACACCTACTGAACAAACTCCATTATAAGTGCCACGACCCGCTCCCCGTACCCAAGGGTTAAGTATCGTGATGGCCAGTAACTGAAGTTACCTACGGCCAATTCTTGAACAAATCAATAAACGCGAGCGAAAGTAATATTTAAGTGAGGGTACCAAAATAATCATTGGAGTTTCTATTTTTATTACAAAATATATTGACCAAAAAGGCCGATATTTACATATAAAAATATCATAAAAACGCTGTGTGTGTCTATTCCACAGTCCCGCGTCTAAGACTTTCCAAAAGCTATTTCTGAATTGTATTGTTTCCAGAAAATTGGTAAACAACTTTAAGCACATGGCAGAGTGAGAAATATTATACCAAGAGTATAAGGGACACGAAATAACCATGGATAGTTAGTTAGGCCAAAACATTTACATAACTCAGTTTGATAAATAAATCATTGGTAAACAAATCATTTAAGTGACAGAAATTGAAATACAGAAATTACGTAAGTAAATGACCATAACCACGGTACTGAACAGAACAGAACAGAGGTCACAGAAGTGACAGTCAGAACAGAGGTACGGATTCAAGAGGTGGCTCGTATGGATTCTAGAGGTGGCTCCCACAATAGTGTAGCACTTAACTCTGCACAGCACTTTGGTCCGCACAGAACAGATGTACGGATTCAAGAGGTGGCTCGTACGGATTCTAGAGGTGGCTCCCACAATAGTGTAACACTTAGCTCCGCACAGCACTTTGGTTCGCACAGAACAGAGGTCAATGGATCAGAGGGCCACAAAGTAACCAAACAGAGGCCAATGGTTATTTAAGTCCCCTAAGGCATGGGACTCCCGTGTGGTACTTACAAAAGATAATTGTTTATAAGGTCATAGTCAAATATTCTTTAAAATATAAATAAACATATCCATGGGTTTCCTTTTAAGCAAATATGGTTCAGAAATAAAACCACGTAACTGAAACCTTTATGAAACATAACTTTTTTTAATATACTAATAAAACATAACTTGTGTAAAATCGATTTTGGTAAGTCAAAACATACGTAATATATATTATAGTGACTCAAGGTATAATATTACTCATCTTAACTTTAATACCTTACTCTTTCTTTCCACTACCAAAGACCCTTTCACCTTCCGCTAATTTTTCCTTCCTTTCCTCTCTTTCTTTTCTTTCTTTCATTCTTTCTTTTCCTTTCTTCTTTCCTTTCTTTTCTACAGACTGATCCCTTCCTCCCTATTTATAGGAAAGTGACGCCACTAGCAAGCCAACACGTGGCCAACCCCAATTCATTCCACAGGTTTTGATAATAATTTCATAGATTCAATCTTATCCTAAATAAATATTTAAGATAATTACACTTTGACCCAATATTTTAATATAATTATATAAATGAATTAATTCCAAATTAAATTGCGCTTTATCATATACCAATGGGAAATTAATTATTTATTTTAATACCACACCCATTATTATTATTATTTATATTATCTATATTATTATTATTTATATTCTGACCCCTAAACTTTTAATAATTATATTATTTTATAAAATTACACATAATAATATATAATAAATTATATATTTTCCGAACTGAAATTAAATAATATTAGTATAAATTCTACAGAATAATTAAAAATCTGGGTTGTTACAATAAGTTCATTTACATGAAACTTATTCATCCACATTAAAAATATATATTAAAATGTCAAACTCAACAACAAAGCAAATCAGAAACTTGAACAAACAACTATTCAAGAACATAGTAAAAATGTCTTTTATTGCAATGTCTCATTACAAATCTAGTCTAAAAGACTATACTATTATTACTATGGACTATTTATTGCAGAAGAACTGTATTATTTTCATACTTCTATTACAAAATCAATAATGTCTTTCATGGCAATGTCTCTTTGCAAGTCTTCCTATTATGACCGTACTTCTCGCATCTCGCATCTACTACACTGTACTCATCTTATCTTCTCACCCCAAGATGGAATCCTATTCTTCCTTGGCCTACCAGGTAACTTCTTGCAAACTGGAGGAAGGACAACAAGATCATCCATAGCTACAAGAGGTTTCTCAACAGTGGGTATTGGATAAACAGACTCAGCATAGCAAGCTTTGAACTTGCTAGTGTAATAAAATGGTTCCACATATGCATACAAATCGCCTCCGCTCTTTTGGATAGCGGTCACCGCGTGAGTACAAAGAAATCCATTCAATTGCCATTGGTAACATGAGCAAGTTTTATTCAAGAGGCCAACGCTAACCGATGGCCGGGATTGAACCTTAAAAACAAGATCACTTGAACGACTAACCAACCAAGTTCTTCCACTTTTAAGAGCATTTACTAATGTTGAATCCATCTCCAGACAATGAAAAGTATTTCATTTCTTAGCTTGTTCTCTCATTCTCGACATCAAATCCATGATCTTCAACCTAATTGAATCAATCATCTTCGTAGTGAGCAAATGACGAGCTTGACGGATCCATGAATTGAAAGACTCTGCCACATTCGAGTGCATTTCACCGTATTTTTATCCTTTAAAATATGCATTAGTCCACTTGTCATAGGGCAAACTGGATAGAAACCTACAAACGATCCCTTTTCCCTCATCTTGTAATTCTTTCAAACACTAATTAAAACATCCCACTGTCGGAGCATAAGCACATGAAGAAAACAAAAAAAAACTATTCTACTCCTGAAAGTATTGCTGAAACTTGGACCGGAGAACCTATCCCTCAAATTGGCCTACAAGTGTTGGAGACAAAAATAGTGATAAGCAGTAGGTAAAACCTAGGGTAAAGCCTCTAAAAGTACAGTGTTCCGATCAGATATGAAGGTAATTGGTCATTTATCCAACAATATATTCAACAAATGCATAAAAAACCATTCCCAACTGTCTGTAGTCTCCGTGTCGACAATTGCCATTGCAAGAGGGAAAAAACCTGAAAAATAACATTTTACAATTAGTAAATATATTAAACGAAAAGGACAAATATAGTAGATTTTTACTCTGAATAACAGTAACATGTTACTCTGAAAATAATTAACATGTTACTCTGAGAATAAATAACTTGTTACTTTTGAATAAACTATAGTAATATCTACCTTGATCCCCATCCTTCGCTGTAGCTGTTAACAAGGTGCCCTTATATTTCCCCTTCAGAAAAGTTCCATCGATAAACAATAGAGGACGACAATGCCTAAACCCTTGAATGGAAGCATTAAATGCAACAAAAAACCTCTTGAATCGTCCACTTTGATGGTTATAGTCAAGATGCAAATAGCTACTACGATTTGTGCTCATCACAATATCCATATACCATCGAATCTCATCATAAGACATAGAGTAGTAGTCCTAGCTTTCTCAACTCCCAACCAAGCGTGATTGTACATAATGGTGAGCCCGTATTGATCTATAAATTGACGCACAACATCAATTGGACGAGTTTGGGGATTCCCATGAACTTCATTAACAATCAAACTTGCAACCAAATTTGAACTAATCCTTGAGCTTTTAGAAGTACGAACTGCAGCTCCACAAGTATGCTCATCATGTAGAGTCCTAATGTAGAAAAAATTATTAGCACTTTCTAGAGATGCATGTACTCGCCATAAACAAGCTTTGGACTCCCTCATTGAACACACAGCAGTGACCCGACACTTCTCATTCTTCACATACACAAACTCAAATCCTATCTCAATGGCATATTTACATAATGCAGTCCAAAATCCTTTGCAACTCCAATAAATCTTTGACCTACATTAGTAATTCCATTCACATATCCACAAGACAACAAAGTCATTTCTTCATGTTGACAAAACATAGGGAGTAAATCCATTTCATCATCAGTAATGTTGGATCCACTAGCATCCCTTGATTTTGTAACTCCATGTGTTTTCATTTGAAGTGCTCATTTCAATAATAGTCACATTAACCCGGTCAACACCAAGGGGATAAACAAGCAACAACATATTCTAAAAATCAGAATCATCATCAATCATGCATTGCGAATGTCCAGGTAAACAGTACGATAACAGTATGCAACCACTATTGTCAAACTTCTTCAATTTACAACTTTAAATCCTTCAACGTGCAGTTTGACTATTAAAATGTCAAATTCAACCACAAAGCAAATCATAAATTTGGATAGACAACCATTCATCAATATAGTAAAAATGTCTTTTATTGAACACACAGTAGCGACCCCACACTTGTCATTCTTTACATACACAAACTCAAATCCTATCTCAATGGCATATTTACATAATGCAGTCCAAAATCCTTTGCAATTCCAATAAATCTTTGACCTACATTAGTAATTCCATTCACATATCCACAAGACAACAAAGTCATTTCTTCATGTTGACAAAACATAGGGAGTAAATCCATTTCATCATTAGTAATGTTGGATCCACTAGCATCCCTTAATTTTGTAACTCCATGTGTTTTCATTTGAAGTGCTCATTTCAATAATAGTCACATTAACCCGGTCAACACCAAGGGGATAAACAAGCGACAACATATTCTAAAAATCAGAATCATCATCAATCATGCATTGCGAATGTCCAGGTAAACAGTACGATAACAGTATGCAACCACTACTGTCAAACTTCTTCAATTTACAACTTAAGAAATCAGTTAAATCCTTCAACGTGCAGTTTGACACAACCTTGAACACAATGGTACGATCACCATACTGGTATAACAACACATTCAAACTTGCAATGAATTGACAGTAAAATTTTACTGTCAATCAAAGTAAAATTTTATTGTCACTAGGAGTCCAAAAATAAATAACAGAAGTACACAATAACAGAGTAAAATTTTACTGTCATTGTATAAAAAAATAATTAAAAAAAGAACAAATAACACCAAAGTAAAAGTTTACTCTCATTTTATCAAACAAAAACATAGCACATACCAAAATTTTACTGTCACTATCAAAGTAAAATTTTACTGTCACTACAAGTCCAAAAGTCAAGATTATTTTGATCTAATACCCATTCCTCATATGCTCATCTCTATCAAAGCTTTCCTAATACAAATCATTTTTAGACATTCCAATTTGGTTTCTTTGAACATCTTAGAATATGACTTCTTTGGGACTAATGGAAGAGTCTTTATAAAGTTCTCTAGGTCTAAAAATAGTTCATGCCCACCTAATTCCAACACAAACCATGATCATGAATTATTAATAACTTGTGTATAGATATACATATATACAAACCTACACAAACACATAGAAATGATATTCTTTGCAGACAATGAACTTGTTTGGTACAATTTTTTGCTGGTTAAAAATTGATAACTAAAACACATAAGCTAAAAGAACATATTATCTTCTCAATAATCAAAATCTTAGCTTATCTAAGCTATTTTTACCTAAGCAAAAGTTGCAACAAACGCGATCAACGTCAGCGGAGGCAGAGTAAAATTTTGTAGTGGCTGAAATGTTTGGCAATGACCACCTCTTGACAGTAAAATTTTATTGTCATTCTAACATCAGAGTAAAATTTTACTCTCATTCTAAACAGAGCACGTACCAGAGTAAAAATTTTACTCTGATTTTGTCAAACGAAATCAAATCAAACACAACAAAAATAATAAATAAATAAAAATAAATAATTAACAAATCAACATACCTAATTGAGATGAAAAACCTCTAAAACTCGGTCAACACTCACAAATCTCAATGAAACTCTCGTTTAATTGAGAGTGTTTATTGTTGGCGACGAGATCATCTATTATTGACCAAGGGAGAGATCGGCGAGATTGTCTATTGTTGACCAAGGGAGAGATCTTAGGCTGCGAGATCTTCAAATTTGAAGATCGTATTCATTGATTTCGTTCCTGATTTCGCAAATTGTAGCAGATCGTATACAACTCAGATTTCAAATATATGATACATATATATAGAAAGGAAATATTGTCATAAAAAAAATAGAAATTATAAAATGTCCTTATTAAGGTAGGCATTTCCTACTCAGGGGCTTTTTGAAAGAAAATTGATTGGGTTATCCTTTACCCTAATAAAAAGACCCAAAAGGGGAGTTTCACCAAAAATCCCTAGTTTTATCTATGATTTTTTTTTCAATGTAAGAGGGTCCCATTTCGGAAATTTGCCTTGGACCCCCTAAATCTCAAGGTCGGTCTTGCCTGTGGGGACTTATTATAGGTCCTATGTAGATAATTTGAACTGTTAATGTGTAGAACTCATCGAGTACTATACGCCTATAAACAATCACAATGATCGGATATCAATTTTTACGTGATTAAATCAATTTTGTATAAAAAAAATATTATGAAAAAATAAATGGTTGAAAGAAATCTGATCCGATGAGATAGCTATCGATATCGATCAAAGTGATTTTTTACAGGCATATAGTACTTGACGAGTTCTACATATTGAACGGTTTAGATTATCAAAATGGGACTCGTGGTGGGCCCCATGGGCTCGACAGTATCCTTCAGTCCGAACACAGATTGGAGGGAAGCCCAGCCCTAAAAGAAAATACAGTTAATCGCATTCACACATTTAGCATAATACCATTTGCTTGTTTGGTTTGGATCTTTAGGATTCACTTTCTAATTTTTTTTTTTTTTTTTTGTGTTTTTTTTTACTGATTTTTTTTAATATTCTAAGCAATTTTTTTAAATTTTTAGATACACATAACATAAATATACTTAAAAGGTATAAATTTGTCAAAAATATCTTTATAAAATTCGCTAAATACCAAAAATGTAATATATATATATATATAAGAATTCAATATATTTTTTGTATTCTTGTATATTTATTGATTTTAATTTTTTTTTATAAATATTTTACTTTTTAGGTACATCCAAGTAAAGTGCATCTAAAAAAGTAAAAAAATTCCTTAAAATTTTAAAAATGTTAACAAAAAACAAAAAAACGAAAAGTAAAAAACTCAATTTCCAAAAAATTGAAACCAACCAACTGATTGATTTTTAATATTTTAATTCAAATCTTTTTTATTAATAATTTATTAGTTGTATGAGTGAAAATTTTTGTCATCTTTTGTCAATTATAAAATATATTTATCTTTATTTATTTTTAATGTGTTAATTTCAATCACTTTAGTCTTACTAAAAAAGAGTTAAAGTACTCATGTTAAAAGTATAAGATTAATTGTATTTTTATCAAATCTCAAAAACGATAAGTGTAATTTATCCTAATTCATTTTATTTCAAATTGCGAACCAAATTAGTACTTTCAACGTAATACACACAAAAAAAATGACTTGTTTAATTGAATTGTATTGAAAAGCATTAGTACTTTTTTTAAAAATAATAATAATAATTGTGTTTTATTAAATATTTTAAAATAATTAATTGTG